AAGCTCTACAAACACTACTTGTAAACATGCTGAATGAAAAGACTGAAAGCCTGCATGAGGCTATACTTCAGCATGATGAAGCTAACCAAAGATTAATTGAGGAATTCATGGAATCCACAAACAAAAAGCAGTCTTAATTCCAACCAAAGGGGCTGGGACGGTGGCTCAATGATAGGGTACGTGTGTAGCATGCGTGAGGCCCTCAGTTCGATTCCTCAGCACCGCATAACAAAAGAGAATAAAGCTGGAAGTGGTGTTGTGGGTCAAGTGGTAGAGCACTAACCTTGAGCTGAGAGCTGAGGGACAGTGTCCAGCCAAGAGTTCAGGCCCCATGATGAGCAAAAAAATGAAAAAAGCAAAAGACACAACATAATTCCAACCAAAGGAAAGCAATGAGAAATACATCAGATTCATTTCAGAGTCATAACAGAGAAATTCCTGAACATCGAAATGATAGGTCCACTCAGAGACAAGAAGCCTTTAGAACTCCAAACATACAAAACTAGAATTGGACATCCCACCACCACACTGTGATCTGCACAGGATTTATAAAGATCCATCTTAAGCTGGGGCTTGAACTCAGGGCCTGGCTACTGTCCCTGAGCTTCTTTTGCTCAAGGCTAGTGCTCTACCACTAGAGCCACAGTGTCACTTCTGGCTTTTTCTGGGTATGTGGTACTGAGGAATCAAACCCAGGGCTTCATGCATGCTAGGCCAGCACTCTACTACTAAGCCACTTTCCCAGCCAGTATAGAGCCTTATAAAGAGGAAATAGCAATGGAAATACATTTCCAATTAGGCCCAATGTCCAGTGATGGGATTCTAGGCTCTCAGTGCATCAACCAATGAGGAAGGGTGTCACATACCAAGGTGGAGTCCTGGTCTCTGAGCAAAAAAAGGAAAAAGAGCTAACCAATGTGCAACCACCTCTAAAGTAGAGAAGTAGGCCCTGTCTCTTAGGACAGTCTCCAGAAAGTCCCATGGTTATAGCAGTATACCCAGAGCCATAGTCTCTCCCCAGTGCTATCCAAGTTGTTGCCTGAATCCTGAACACTGATGTTCTCCATTGTGTCCCAGTGCCATGCTGCTTGTCACAGTGTAGAATCATGGAGGCTGTTGGATCTAAATACAGGTGTCATGGCCTATATCTTGCTTTGTCCTTGGCTGTACCCTTTCTCATTGGCTGCAACCTGCTTTGTAATTGGCTGTATCCTGCTCCCTCATTGGCTGTCTTCTGACTTGTCATTGACTAGATCCTGCTTCTTCATTGGCTGGCAAGTATTCATAGGATTATTTAATAAAATTTCTTTTAACAAACAGCACTGTTAGTAGAAATAGAAGGTAAGGGTGAAATGAAATATCTAGCTGCTGTCTTCATAAAAATAGAAACAAGTTGTTAATTTTAATAATGTACAGTAAATACTTTTTTTTTGGTCAGTCCTGGGCTTGAACTCTGGGCCTGGGCATTGTCCCTCAGCTCTTCAGCTCCAGGTGAGCACTGTACCACTTGAGCCATAGCACCACTCTGGGCTTTTTCTGTTTATGTGGTGCTGAGGAATTGAACTCAGGGCCTCATGCATGCAAGGCAAGCACTCTACCACTGAGCCACTTTCCCAGACTAGAAAATTCATTCTTTATCCCAACAATTATATTTTAAGCAACAAAACTC